CATTCTCTACATTGTGTCGCCATGTGTCGCCATGTGTCGCCAAGTACCTACCTAATACCTTCTTGAATATTAAAATTATTGATCTGACAGTAAAACAAATATTATAAGGGTAAAAAAATATACAGGTCAAAACTGATGTGCGGAGTAAACAACTCTGACCCGAATATAAAAAAATTGAGGGTGACCGCAAATTCATAGAAAATAAACGCAAATTGCTTATTATTACGTTTCACTTGTGCGAAATGTTGAAAATCAAGAAGCCTTATACATTTAAAACAATTTCGAATTCGAATTATTAACTCATATTTGAAACAAGTAAGCAGCAACATTGTTGATCAGTTCCAGCAATTTTCCCATTTTCAAATTTAATTTGCGAAAATAGGAATAATATAACTGTGCAAAATTACAGGATAAAAGGGTCCTGTTAATTACGATTTTATAAAGAGCAACCATTCATGGCTATATTGAAATCTGGCAGCGCAATCAACTGTATAGGCTAAAAGCGAAAACATTATTTGAGAAAGCCAAATAAGGTATAATAAATATCTAGGGCAAGCAGCTTTGAGAAATCAAACTTCCAGGCATTTTATAATTAAATTTACCATAGGCATGGCTTCATAATATTTCATTTAAACTTTGTCCTTTGATTTCTTTGTCCGACATTAAATTGTTTTTGAAGTTTTGTCATTTTTAATCACAAAGTTCTAATACCATAAACAACGCGTTTTAATCTAAATTGAATGTTATATGTTTTTTTTTTTTTGGTATAATCAATGAAAACATCTGAAAGCAATAATAAAAAAGGGCCAGTAGCGAAAATGGAGATTTAGCAAAAGCGGCTGCTAGCCAATTATTACGTGATTTATTTGACATTCCCAAAGTACGCAAGAATGAAAATTCAAAAACTCTTTCAAGTTGGGAGTTAAAAGGCATAGGCGAGGGTAGAAAGATAACAAGAAACAAATTGGTTTAGTTTGTGGAAGCTTCATTTCTTGGGGCGTTGTTATCCAAAAGTATGAAGCTTACGATCGGAGAATTAGTGAATCTTTTTTTTTTTGAATTTCGAAACGATATGCTTTTTTTTTTAACTTGCGATCAGAATTAAAGTAAAACTGTTGTTATAGTTGAAGCTCGGTTTTAGTGGTGCCGCGAGACGAGACGAGACCGAGATAATCTCGGTCTCGACTACCAAAGTCTCGTCTCGTCTCGAGTGGTCTCATCTGGTCTTGAATTATACAGGGTGTCCGGAAAATAGCGTAAGAACTCTTTACTACTTGGTGGAGGACCCATCAAGGAACCCCAGATAAATAATTTAAAAAATCTGGAGGCATACTTAAGAAAGTTATTTGCATTTTAATATTTATTAAAATTGGCAGCACTGAAAATATGTCACAGAAATAAATTAAATGCTTATGTAATTACCTGAAAAATTCGAAGGTGACAAAAAAATTTTGTCAGATCAATTTTTCCTTTTGTAATTTAGAAATTTTGCAATTTTCATATTGCTTTTAAAGGTTAACAACAAATTTTTATAAACTATTAATATATGTTATGAATCAAAAAAGGATACCTAACAATTTGTAAGAAATATTGCAATTTGAACAAAAAAAAAAAAAAATTAGAAAGTTCAATTTTTCCATTTACCTCTTCATATTACCAAGAATGCTCGAGAAGAATTTTTTAAATTATTTCTCTACGTGTATAGCTTCTACGCTATTTCCGGGACACTGTATTTATGGTTTTTATTTTTATATTATAACGGAAGTCCAAACTGCCACAGTGAAAAACAGTTATTTAAAGAGTGAAAAATCACAAACCGAGACATTTGAAAAAAATATGAACGTTAAAAAAATAAAAAATTTGTCGGACAAAACAGTTTTTGAAAAAAGAATCACCCTGTATTTTTTTTTGTGTAAATTAATGGGATGCTTTCTACATACTTCAGGTATCTTCAAGTCTAACTTCTAGTTTAGCCGAAAGTGCTTATGCTTTACACATTTTGTGGAAGTGGAATCTGAAAATTAAGTGTATGTAGAAATCATTCCATTAATTGTTTAGTATTAAAAGGACCCCCCAATATTTAAATGGAAATTGGTTACCCGTGATATTTGGATGAAATTTAAATATGTCATTGGGGATGCCGTAAGCAAAATTTTTTACCATGGGCACAACCTTGTATATATGACAGGTGAGGCGTGGTTAGCTGTCAAATATTGGAATCTTATATCCAAAAGAAGAGTGACTATGGCAGATTTTGATGATCGAAGTATCGATGTCTACTAAGTCGACCAAGTCAAGTCGAAAAATGTCAACCATTTTGACACCTGTCAAAACCCTGCTAAACTGCAGCACTGATCTTTTTCCGTTTTCAATATTTCATAATTTCATTTGACATTTTTAGCTTGTATGTAAATTCTGAATTCAAAAATTGAAAAAAAAATGACAGAACTGTCAAAACCTGTCATTTGTTTTAGTAGAAAAAAATACTCTAATCTGGTTCTTTTTTGTTTCAAGGTAATTTAGCGGTGATAAAACATTAAACAAAGTTCATGCATGTCACATTTTGACAACTGTCAGAATCTGTTAATAGATTTTTGGTTCATATTGAGTTTCTTTGCTTAGTGAAGGTTTAGTTCTATTGTATTATTGTATTATTCTATCATTATAGTTGTAGAACTTCACTAAGCAAACAAACTCAATATGAACCAAAAAACAAAAACAGATTCTGACAGTTGTTAAAATGTGACATGCATGAACTTTGTTTAATGTTTTATCACCAATAAACTACCTTGAAACAAAAAAGAATCAGATTAGAGTATTTTTTTCTACTAAAACAAATGACAGGTTTTGACAGTTTTTTTTTTCAATTTTTTTCGATTTTTTCTTTCAATTTTTGAATTCAGAATTTACATACAAGTTAAAAGTGTCAAATGAATCATGAAATATTGAAAACTGGAAAAGATGAGTGCCGCCGTTTGACAGGTTTTTGGCAGGTGTCAAAATGGTTGACATTTTTCGACTTAACTTGGTCGACTTAGTAGAAATAGATTTTTTGTTCATCGAAATCTGCCATAGTTACTCTGCTTTTGGATATAAGATTCCAATATTTGACAGCTAACCACGCCTCACCTGTCATATATACAGGATTGTGCCCATGGTAAAAAATGTTGCTTACGGCATCCCCAATGACATATTAAAATTTCATCCAAATATCACGGGTAACCAATTTCCATTTAAATATTGCGGGGTCCTTTACAAAAAACTGCAGGGTGATTATTTTTTTAAATTTTTATTTATCAACATTTATTTTTTTTTATTCGACGTTCAATTTTTTTTCTGATTTCATATTCAAATAGCGCAGAATAGTCCAATAATAAAGCTATGAAAGAAAAATTTTAATTGTAATCTCGAAACTCGAGACTACGCGAGACTCTTGCCGAGTCTGGTCTCATCTCGTCGAGACTTCACGAGACGAGACCGAAAGCAAGTCTCGTCTCGAAAAGTCGAGACGAGACGAGACCAGTCTCGAGTCTCGCGACATCACTACTAGGTTTCTCGTGAGAAAATACCCGATTGCTTCAAAATGGTCGTATAAACTCAGAATTGTACAGGCCCTGGGTAAATAAAAATAAAACGATAAACCAGGCGAGACAAACGAAAACAAACAATCTCGACTCGACAGCTCGAACAGTTGTGGAAATAAATGATACCCGAACTTTCTATGATACTAATAAAATCTTGGCAAAGAGAATCAACGTCAGATAATCTTCCAAAGAGAAAGACATGGAAAATGCATTAGAAAAGATCAACTTCGCAAATGGATTCTTTGAGGTGTCACTTTGATAAGAAGGGTCAGATAAAAGCGTTATGAAATGTTTATCATAAAGGAGGATGTTATGTCTTCTATAAAGGACAAATTGTATAGAAAATTTCCATTATCATCAGGGGAAAGCAAAATTGCATGTCTTCCAAATTTTTTAGTTGGTCATCAAGAAAACGCCAGGATATGGTGAATCGACTTGAGAATATCAAATATTCACATGATCCATACATTATCTCATTCACACATCAAACAAATGATACAAAAAATAACAGGTGAAGCCAACAAGCTCACAAAACAATAAATATTTTCACTCAAGGTACGGTCAAAACGGTCATAGAACGAATGGATAAATACTCGGGAAGCTTCGATAACAATGGCGGAGATAAATACGCGCTAAATCTTTCCTCAAGACGATTAGTTTTTTGAGCCTGGTGTTCTTGCTTTGTACAATCGTTTTCTTGATGTGAGAATTCTTGTAGCTAGAAAAGGTGGCAGAGAATGACTGATTACACTCTGAGCGCCTAATTCTAACACTATGTAGTAATCAGTTGTCTCTGGGTGTAATTGAGTAGAAACGACTGATGGTTTAATATACTAATTTATTCAAGGGACAGTAACACTATTTGTACACAGATAAATGCAATATTTACAACGGTAATTAACTAATAAAATAACTAAAGTGCTGACTTATATGTTTCACTGACTCACTGTTGTTCCTAATGTCGATAACTTTAAAAATGCTTGGCTAGCAGTAGCACCTTGGCAAATAGAAAATAAATAATACATTTATTAAAAAATAATTAGTTTTAAATTTGGAAGAAACTATGGCTAATTTGTAATTAGACATGCTCATTTTGGTACTTATTTAAATTTTGCTCTATTCTGAACTACTTGGCACCAATTTAGACCAGATGTGTGCTATATATTTTCGTACCACCGCCGTTTTTTGTTCTTCCCACACATCTTTTCTCACCTCAAGTTCGCTATCTGGTCATTTTGTGCCCTTATTGTTCATCATTATTGGGTAGATGACCGGCCAAGCTCAATTTCAAGGAGCATTATCCTTACCGCAGCATCCTGTACCTCTGTCCTGCTTCTCATCCAGCGATTGTTCTTTCTGCCTTCGAGGGTGAATCTTCAATGTGACTTTCTTAGAACATCGCTTCACGTAACTCACCAGTCTATTTTGGGTTATTTTATGTAATCCATATTTTGAGTTTAACTTGAAATTTCGTTGGTCTTTTGCCGGTTTCTGAGATTTCTCGGCTAAGGGATTTCTGCTCGCAATCTTGCAACGTTGGAGAAACAATGTTGTCGGCTCTATGTTCTTGCCACTATGTACTGCGATGTTGTTAGGATTCATTGTTGATGCATTTTGTTGTGAAAATATTAAATTATTAAATACCCTAATTATTTTCAACGTCACCTTCAACATATCCGAAAGGATTTTTTCAGGGCGTAGGATGTTTCTTTGCGACTAATATTGATAACCCAAATTGAGTATTGACAGTGGCATAATTTCGTGGCATCCTTAATTCTTTCTTCAGAACCGACCCAAGCGAATGGATAGCTGCGGGTGCCTCATAGCCTAATGTTTTCTCTATAAGTTCACGTGAGTTATTAGATTCCAAAAATGAAATTAACGTCACATAAACCTTGAGGTTACAAAAAAAATTATATTTTGAAAATTGGAGCAAACAAGGGGCTTAACTATTTATGAAACTGAGTGCATGTTATGCAACAAAGAAAATTTCCAGTCAATATTATTAAATAACTGCGATTATTTCGTTTCCTTGTAAAGTTATGTTTTACTTTCGTGGGTTAGAGGACAGGACCAAAAAAGAAGAAACTATCAAGCTTTCGGCAACGTTTCGGAATACATTTTTCTTTTTTCAAGCCTCAAACTATTGTTTCTGTTCAGGATGGACAAAGGCACTTCTCAACATATTTTAGGGATAGCAATCAATTTTCACATAAAAAATCGTTATTCTGAATTTGAATGTTTTGCCACCTGATTTTCATCAAAATCAGCTGTCCATCCTGAACGGACTACAGAAACAATAGTTTGAGGCTCGAAAAAGAAGAAACATATTCCGAAACGTTTCCGAAAGCTTGATAGTTTCTCCTTTTTTGATCCTGTCCTCTAATCCACGAAAGTAAAACATTATTAAATAATAAATAAACAAATAATAATTTTCCATTTCAATGTCGAAAAAGAAGTTTCCATTAATAGATACCTACGAATGCTTTGTATTGTCGTTTAAAGTTTCTGTTTATAGAACTTTAAAATTTAATACGCTTCTATTTTCTACGCTATGTTCAAAATATCGATTTCGCGGATATGGGCCTCCTGAGCAAAACAGAATCGTTGGCAAACAAACCAATAAATATAATTTTATCTTTAAGATCTACACATTTAGACATACTGTAAGGCTGCCGTTACATGCTACATAACAATAATTTATATTATTCAACACCAACACATTACGTGCCAACCCAAAAACCCAACTGCGTTTACATAAATTAGCAAATGCCATTTCTTCAAAGTAGATATGTATTATGTTAATTTCACATAGCGCCACACATAATTGTGAGTTATGTTCGCTCAATTACAACTTCTAATTCAAACTTTGAGACATACAATATTTTATCTTCAAGTGACTGCAATATTTCCTGTCACAGCTTATTCACCACATTTTTCATCCATTTTCGGAAAAATAAAAGGCTGCCACTATAATTTACGACGTATGCCAAGTCCGTTTACTTTATTAAATATCAAATCTATATTAGGTCACTCGGAACACATTTCATTGCTTGGAACGGATTATTCATGCTTTTACTTTATTTATGCAATAATTTAATCCACATAAAAATTAATAAATTAGTGCAAATTATGCTCTTGAAGCTAATTTTTGAACTTGGTCGTTGACAATATAACAAGAACATAATAGCGCTGATTGGTGTTGCTGCCTCTGGCGATAAAAAACCAACAAGTTTCCTATACATAAAAATCTTTTCAGGTAGATAATAGATTACTTTTGTGTTGACGACAATAAAGTTTAAATTATGAAGGGCTTGAAGATGGAGTATTTTGTCCTGAATCACTCTGGCCATCCTCAGTTACATATGTATACGAATTTCATATCATTAGGGTCAACCAGTTATTATTTATTTACGGAAAACTGTCGGAAGGTCATATGTCAACCTTGTTAAGATTTTTTTTCTTATATGAATAAAATCTCGATAAAATTCAAAAATAAAATGGAAGTGGTTCGTCCAGAAAAAAAAGTGACCTAGTACCAGTATCAACTATAGTTTATTTTTTTTTTTTTTTTTACGGATATGCGCACTCGCAAGGAAATGTCCTATCACGCTCGAGAAGCGGCAAATGCGCGGAAATGTCGGTGTATCTTGGTCTTGAAACGGTTCAGGTTGTAACCTGCAGGGAAAACCGTCGCAGGGAGTTTATTCCACAGCGATGCTGTTCTCCAGAGATATGAATTCTGATATATAAATAATGAGGTTCTTGGTGCCTCTAGTTTGACAGTAAATTCATGGTTACCGTCTGTTTGACGGGTTCGCCTGGTAGGTGCTACTCTCGGTGGAATCATACGTGCCAACTCTTCAGAGCATTTTCCGTGATAGTACCTGTAGAAGAGAGATAAATCGCCCACAGATCTGCGATGTTCGAGACCATCCAAGTTACGAGTAAGTGCAGGGTCATTGATCAGCTTGATAGCTCGTTTTTGCACGGTGTTCAAAAGCATTAAGGTATGTTTGGGTGCTGCACTCCATATATGTGAGCAGTACTCCATAGTTGGTCGAATCTGGGCTTTGTAGAGTGCCAGCAATTGGCTTGGTGTGTACAGATGTCTTGTACGAAATAGCACCCCCAGCTTTTGGGACGCCCTTTTAGCAATATCTGCCACGTGACTGTGCCAAGACATGTTGGTCTCTGCAGTAACCCCCAAGATGTTCAACTGACTCTGTAATGTGACAGCACTTCCAGATAGCATGATGTTTGGCTCACCGGTGCTGGTCTTTTTTGAAAACAGAGCTGCTTGGGTTTTCTGCGCGTTGAACTGTACAAGGTTTTTGTTACCCCAGTCCTCTATTATCTCCAGTTCGTTATTTATCTGCGATATTTGAGTTAGTCTAAGATGATGGAATTCACGTGCGGAAAGACCTGTGGGTGGTATGAGTGAGGAGACTACATTGCCATCGTCTGCAAAGCAATAAAGTGGATTTACTGTTTTATCTATGAGGTCATTTATGTAAATCAGAAAAAGAGTTGGCGAAAGGATTGCTCCCTGTGGCACACCAGCATTTATTTGGTAAGAGTTGGAGTTCTGGCCATCCAGTGCAACATAAATGGATCTGTCCTTTAGGTAACTTTCAAACCAAGTGCAAAGTTTCGGCGATAATCCCATTGCTTTGAGCTTGTTGAGCAGATTTTCATGCCAAACTTTGTCGAATGCTTTAGATATATCTAAGGCAATTGTTCTTGTTTCACCCCGCAACTCAATCGCTTTTTGCCATAAGTGAGTGACGTATGTAAGTAAATCGCCAGTTGACCTATATTTTCGAAATCCGTATTGCTTATCGTTGATAATTTGGTACTTTTCCAAGTACTTGGTTAGGTGATTGTTCACAACTCTTTCCATTACTTTTGATATCACCGGAAGTAGAGCAATTGGTCTATAGTTTAACGGATCTGTCTTTTTTCCTTTCTTTGGAATGGGTTGTACTGCGGCAGACTTCCTTGATGATGGATATACTCCTTGCCTGTAAGACAAATTGAATAATTTTGCGAAAGTTGGGGTGAGTTCGTTGGCGCAATTTTTGAGTACTATTGCGGGAATGCCATCCGGACCCATTGCTTTGTTTGTATCTAGCTTTTTAAGGGATTTTCGTATTTCTCTGTGACAAAAGGGTACCTCTGGCATACTATGGGAAACCCTTTCAATGAACGGTGGAGTTTTTCCGTTTGGCACTGTTAGGTTGGAGTTGGAGGAAAACATTTGGGCCAGCATATTGGCTTTTTCCTCTGATGTTGTGGCTAAGTGATTATTTTTATCTGTAAGTGGTGGTATGGATGACTTGGTGAAGTTAGATCCAACAGCTTTTGCAAGAGACCAAAAGGACCTAGAACTACTTGGACAATTCAGCAACCTGTTTTTTATTCTTTGATTGTATGTTTCTTTAGCGGAGTCAATAGTAATTTTGCAACTATTTCTGGCTTCTATAAATTCTGTGTGGTTTTGAGCGGTTTGTTGTCGTTTCCAAAGGTTATATGCTCTGTGTTTTTTCTGTACAGCCGTTTGACACTGGCTGTTGAACCAAGGTTTTGCATTAGCTCTACGTTTAGTTGTATGTGGGATATATGCATCCATTCCAGATAAGATTACTTGTGTTATTTCATTACAGCAAATAGTGGGATCAGCTGTTTTAAAGCAAACCTCTTGCCATGGAAAATCCAGGTAAAACTGTTTTAGGTCATTCCATTTTGCGGATTTATAGTGCCACATTTGACGAGGAAGTGGTTGTTGGCTTGGTGGGATGAGCATTTCGCACTTTGTTATTATAAGTTTATGATCGGACGAACCAAGTGGAGCATCTACTTGAATTGTGTACGAGTCAGGATTTGTGGTTAGGAACAAGTCTAAAAGCGCTGCGAATTCGCCCCTTTCTGAGATACGGGTAGGTTCATCGACAAGCTGCGTTAGACCACAACTTATGGCAAAAGCTTCTGCTTCTCTGCCTTCGTTATCTGTTTTGTTGTGGTGTTTCAGCCAGGGTATATTGTGGACGTTGAAATCGCCTATTATTTGTAACTCAAATAATAATATTTAATTGTAGAAATAAGTTACAGGTTATTTGGAGTAGCTCATCATTCAGATTCGATGCGCAGCGATAAAAATTAACCACCAGTGATGCTAGATGCTTTTTATTTTGGATATAGCTATAGTAGCCGTTTCGTAGGGCAAAATAATTGAGCGATAATGAATCGCAAATTAGTGTAAACTGATGGTATTAAATTATTCCAGCGTGAAAAAAGCATCCTACCAGACTAATCAGAGTCAAGCATGAAGGCATAATAACAGGCCGAATGCAAAGTGCATTGTACAAAATCAAAAACTGGAGCGCTAAAGAAGGACTTTCCATAAATCCCAGCAAAACGACCTTAGTGCCTTTTTTGAAAAGAAGCAAGCTGGATCTACGAGCTCTCACTCTAAACGGCACTCAATGATATCTCTCGGATGAAGATAAGTATTCAGGGATCACCCTGGACCGCAAACTTACATGGAACAACCATAGGAAAAAAACAAAACAATATCCCGAGCGGTCATTTGGACATTCCGC